ATGTCAATACCATGTAAATGAAAAGTGGGGGCCCGATGATAAAAACCATGGAAAAACCATGGAAATTTATCGAGTAGCTGTCTTCATAAAGTATGTCAATACCATGTAAATGAAAAGTGGGGGCCCGATGATAAAAACCATGGAAAAACCATGGGAATTTATGAGTAGCAGTCTCCATAAAGTATGTCAATACCATGTAAATGAAAAGTGGGGGCCCGATGATAAAAACCATGGAAAATATGGGAATTATGGGTAGCAGTCTTCATAAAGTATGTCAATACCATGTAAATGAAAAGTGGGGGCCCGATGATAAAAACCATGGAAAAACCATGAAAATTTATGGAGTAGCTGTCTTCATAAAGTATGTCAATACCATGTAAATGAAAAGTGGGGGCCCGATAATAAAAACCATGGAAATTTATGGAGTAGCAGTCTTCATAAAGTATGTCAATACCATGTAAATGAAAAGTGGGGGCCCGATGATAAAAACCATGGAAAAACCATGGGAATTTATGAGTAGCAGTCTCCATAAAGTATGTCAATACCATGTAAATGAAAAGTGGGGGCCCGATGATAAAAACCATGGAAAAACCATGGAAATTTATGGAGTAGCAGTCTTCATAAAGTATGTCAATACCATGTAAATGAAAAGTGGGGGCCCGATGATAAAAACCATGGAAAAACCATGGAGAATTTATGAGTAGCAGTCTCCATAAAGTATGTCAATACCATGTAAATGAAAAGTGGGGGCCCGATGATAAAAACCATGGAAATTTATGGGTAGCAGTCTTCATAAAGTATGTCAATACCATATAAATGAAAAGTGGGGGCCCGATGATAAAAACCATGGAAAAACCATGGGAATTTATTGAGTAAGCTGTCGTAATAAAGTATGTCAATACCATGTAAATGAAAAGTGGGGGCCCGATGATAAAAACAATGGAAAAACTACGACTTCGTAGTTTGTATAAATGGTCTCGCATTCTGGCATTCTTCATGTATTTTGTGGGCTAAGCCACCCCCCCCCCCCTTACTTCTGGGGGGGCTAAAGCCCCCTAGCCTCTGACTGAAATGGATTATTGTGTACTCAGGGTGAAACCTTTGACAGTTTGGGATAAATGTGGATAATTTTCGTGTGAATAAATTGCGGATTTTTTCGCCGCCGAGGAGATCGATCGACAGATGTTATAAAATAATAAAATATGGAAAATATAAACAAACCTACGGTTAAATGAGTGGCAGTCTTCACACGGTTAAAAAGACCCACAGAAGCCTTTGTGCTGAAAGGTAATGGAATTTGCATTTTTGTACTAGTCATTCAGAAGCTGTAATTTAATACCGTCGTTCTAGTAATTTACTATTTAAAGATTCATGAATTTATAGCATGTACCGGTACTTTCAAATGTGATTTTAATATAATTGTCAACCGACGTCTACTGTGTATAATTAAATTATTTCAAAATTATGTATGTTTTTCAGATTTTATATTTTCAGATTTTAGCATGCAAACAGAGTAAATACCAGACTTAAATACCAGTTTACCTCACTGACTATTAGATCGGTGGTTTACCTCCATAATTTAACAAGCGTGGAGAAAATTGTTTGGGGCCTGCCTGTCAAAATGACCAGCACCAATGCATGTTCGCCTGTCAGTCAAATATGCAGTGGTATTACATATATATGTTGAATGGTATTTAGAAATGTGCAGCTTTTGCAGTGCAGCTTTTGCTATAAACCTTGCTGCTTACATTTTAATTTTGTTGAAATAGTATTTTGCTATTAATATATAGAAATAATCACATAAGTTTCCTGATAATTTGATATAATTTGCTTTTAAGCTAAAATCTAGACTTTAAGTATAAACAGGGAAATTAAATTATTTTTGTATATTCTCAAGAAGGAAATTTTCAAAAAGAGGGACATTTTGGGTGATTAAGAGAAGGACAGTTTTTAGGGTTGAAATGCTGAATAATTCAAACTGGACAAAATGACAGACACAATCAAAGTTGTGCCTGTCAAAACACTAGAAATCATGTATATTTACTGGTGACCGGACACTTATTTCCAGGCTTATATGCCCATTAAGCAGCAATGCGCCCTTAGGCCAGGACTGATCGTTTATGATGGCCAGGGGTAGGGGGGGCAGAGTCGTGCACTTCAATGGGTTAACAATTAGGGTTAAATTAATATATAAACTGATGTATGTTTGCTTTCACTTATAATAATAGGCTTTACAAACGGTGTAAAGAAGGCGGGGAGTCAGACAGAGTCAAAGTAAGCGAAGTGAGAGATATTTTTCATTCCTTCGATGATTCTCTTTCCATGCAAGAATGTGGATACATCATTAGACAAGCATTTCCAGGCTTACAAAGGCGGCGAATACATTCTGTGTGGTATTATTATGGGCTATCATTTAGAGATTCCAATGCCAGCAGACATATAATGAACAACAGTTCCAAGACCAAAGAATCTCTGGACAAAGTGGAGTCCAGGAGACTGGCTCTTCAAGGAGAAAAAAGAAAGATAATCGCACCGAATACACAAGTACAGGACAGAGAAAGGCCTGAAGTGGATGAGAAAAACAAGCTAAAAAATGGTCTTGCCTATAAAATTCCAAGTTTTAATATCGACATGAGGGCACTGTCCCCTTTACATGAATGTACTTTGATTGGTGAGGGAACATTTGGAAAATGTTTGTCTGGAAAATACCAGAACTTGCCAGTTGCAGTTAAGGTGTTCAAAGGTAATCAGTCTGTGAAGTCTATTCATCATGAGGCAAGCATACTTCTCCAGGTTCCGGGTCATCCAAACATTGCTATGTTACTAGGTGTGCAAACAGTTCAATATCCCTTCCTTCTTCTAAGCCGACTTTGTCTCAGTGATGGTATACCGATAACATATTCAAAGTATTTACATCACCTTGAAAGGACAGCTGCCCACCTAAAGATTTGCCTTCATTTGATGTATGAAATAGCCGAAGGTCTAAATCACATCCATTGTCATTCAATACTTCATAATGATTTGAAAGGAAACAACATAGTTGTTGAAGGATCCAAAGAAGTCCAGCATGCAATTCTCATTGACTTTGGAAAAGCTGGTATGCTTCAAATTAAAGGTGTACGTGGTATACTATTTTAGAATTAGTTAATTTGTTCAACATACAGTGTATAAATATGAAATTACTCACAGAGCCTGAGGTTGTAAACAAGTTATGCTAATTACTTAACCCATTGAGTCGCATTGCACCCTGATGCACCCCACTTTAGTATTTTACTCTGTCTAACGCCAGACGATTTTACTCGTCAAGGGGAGAGCGCTGGCGCTTAATGGGTTAACTGGCCTATCTGCCCATGCGTCTAGTTAACCCATTGAGTCGCATTGCACCCTGATGCACCCCAATTTAGTATTTTACTCTGTCTAACGCCAGACGATTTTATTCGTCAAGGGGAGAGCGATGGCGCTTAATGGGTTAAGCAGGAAGAAAGTTATAATTAGCAAATGAAGTTGGTGGCCATGCATCTTGGCAAGATTAGAGGGCAAAAATAACAATATTATTATAGCTTTGGATTGACACTCTAAGTGTCGTGCCCTTAAATGCATGTTTCTTTGTTATAATTCAAGTCACCTAATATTGTTAATATTCAAGTCACCTAAGTCACCTCTTAATCAGTTAAGGCACCTAGCTTCAGCATATTAGGTACACATAAATAAGAACAGAAATGCCATTATTCAATGTTTTTCTTTCAACCCTTTGAGTGATGGCAGCATTCCCCCTCGACAAGTAAAATCATCTGGCATTGGACATAAAGTAGGGTGATTTGCCACTTAGGGTCTATTTACATGAGCCTGATTAGCCGGGATGAGACGTATACCAGCAAGCGAAAATTTGCAGGATTATGTTTGTCACGAAAGTTAAGTTCATGCTTTATTGGACAAATTTTAGACTAAAAACTACTTTATTAGCAAGATTAACTTAAGAAATAAGTCATTATCCAGAAAAGTCATTATTCTACAAATATTTTTGTTAAACAAAGCTTTTTGTGCCAGCCCGGTTATCCAGGCTACTGTGACTTTACGTGGAAAAATTTCGGTCCGGCTGACCGGACGCCCCGCTTGAGATCCCAGCTAAAGTGGCTGGCCTGGTTGTCATGTAAAGTGAAATTGTTTTGTGTTGGAAATTACTATGAAGCCAGGCACCCTGTTTAAGCGGGCCAGCCCAGCAAACCGGGCTTATATAAACAGACCTTTAAAAAGGGTTAACAGGATGCATGCATCATGGGCAGATAGTATGATTAACCCATTGATAAATAATAAAGTAGGGCACATACATTGCCACTTAAAGGGTTAATATGTAATCGTTTCATGATCACCTATTGTGTTCTTAATATTAATAAGGCAATCATCCAGTAGCTATCTAAACAATATCAAAACTGAACGAGTTGCTACTGGATGGTTGCACCAAAACAAAATAGGTTACATCTGAAACTACTGCACATTTGAACAAACATATGAACCTATACGACATAAATAATCCATCTAATTGAGTTTCCTGAGTTAATTATAACTACGGTTTCTGTCTTCTGAGCTTTCGGTGAGAGTCCTGAAAAAGCCCAGTTCTGCACTGTTTTCCAAATGTACCAATTTATACAGTACAGAGTAGGAAATAACATACTGTACATTGCTAGATATTTGACCATTCATTTTTCCAAGATACAGTGACACTGCCTTCAGGAAGTTACCAGATTTTTGGTCAATTACATCATTATGAATTGTTATTATAATCAACTCTTATAAAGTTTTGAACTCTATGTCATGTGAAATTTGCATTTGTTCCTATCATAGTTGCTGTACATGCAAATGTTGTGGACAAATTTTATTTTTAACCCGTAAGTCACAATGCGCCCTTATCTGTCATATCTGTTATGCAGTGTTTGCATCCTTTAGTGAAGATGAAACTCAAGGACTTTACAGACCTTGATTCTGATTTTTCAGTAAATTCAAGGACTTTCCAAGTTTTTCAAGGCCCCTGGACACCCTGGTTATCTTATTCTGCGTTTGATTCAAATTTTCAGGTAATAAACGAAGATTTGTTCGAGAAAAAGAAATTGATGAATACTGAGTCAAATACCCTCATATTGCACCCGAAGTTGCCAGTGGAAACTATCCAACAAATGAAAGTGACATTTACTCTTATGGTTATTTATTCTGCAGTACTTTAAAAGTTTTTAGAGAAGTTATTGGATCCTTTCCCGAAAAGAACATAATTTTAGAGTTAGGAAAGAAATTCACTCACCCAAGGCCAGACAGGAGGTCATCTCTTTAGGAGATATTAAAGACCCTCTTAAATTTTCATAGGGCGTAGATATATAAAGCCAAGAAAACTATTTCAGTATTTGTGACCATTTAGGGTTTCAGATACATGTACTTATCCCGTACCATTCAAAACGGAATAGATTATAAGTTACCAGGTCTATTGCGTGTTTTGGCAGTTTGATTACATGAATCTTGAGATCACGAGATGGTTTAGTCTCCTACGCAGCCTATTCGCGGAACCCCCTATGTTTCTGGCACATGTTACTTATACTGTAGTTATAGAGAATTGAATGTGAAGTGACTGTTTACCCACAATACTGATACTACAGTACTTATAAATTATAACGTTCATTGGCATTGCTGCAGAAATTTGTTCAAAAATTTCCACAAGCAATTCCCACCATTTAACTGAAGGCTGATGTTTCAGTGATTAGGGCTTTTGAGTGATCTTAGTCCATCACATAATTGTACGTACAGGTATATAAACCTCGATTTCAAGATTTTCTGTTCTCGTTCTGCAACGTCATTATGCATTTTTCTTTTTGGATTGATTTCATGACTGAGCAAACCAATGTCAATGATGCAAATGAAAGGCTGAAACAATCGCAGTTACTGTCAGTAATAGACTAATAGCTGGAATGTTATACCCTGAGTGTGTATCCCCGTTGGGCAGGCTGAAAAATTTGCCTGGCCACGGCCGGAATCGAACCCGCGACCGATACTAGTCCAACGCTCTGCCAACTACAGCTACGCGGTCAAGTCGGTTCGTGCACATGTGGGTGATATTTCGGAACTGAATCTAGCTCCTTCCATATCAATGTGTTCTATGATAATGCTTTTTTTGTGGTGGTGTCTTGTACTCAGGTGAATATGATGCTATGATTCACCTGAGCACCACACACGCAAAAAAGTAATAGCTGGAAAATAACATGCATGAAACTCTATCATTCGGCCTGATTAAAAGAACGTTTATACGCTGCGATTTGTCGTGTACGATTCGCATTCTGAGTGATGTATGAAAATTACTGCTGATACAACAATTCCTCTTCGTTACGTCTATGATTTAGTTTATGGCGAAACTTGAAATGCAACTACTTTGCAGATGCTCATTCGATTAGATATAGCAAAGTACGAATCATACACGACAAATTGCTGCGTGTAAACGCATGCACCTACTGTAGTTTATAATCTTGAAAAACGTACTAGTACACTTTCAACATTAGCCCTTCAAAATCAATACATGTTGTTTTGTGAACTGTTCGCATTAAATCTCTTGTTAAAACAAATACCACATTTTGTCTGTTTTCACCATTTTATCCTTTAATATCCAAAATGTAACGTTTTTGACTAGAAAGGTCATAAACCCACTGCCGTGACCGACTGCTATAATCATTCAAGTCTTCTAGGAAACGTTTATGCGTTCTTTGATTGTCTTTTGTATTTCAGTCTGTGGTTTGTAGATATTTTATGACACTTGCATTAAGACATCCTGAATGAACCCCTGGTTTGATTAGTTTCTTCAATAAGCATTTTACGTATCATTTATAGCAAACCCTCCAAACGTTTTTTTGGCAGTAGCCAGAGAAATTATGGACCGAAAATTCACCTCATCTTCGTCCTTTAGTGCTGACCAAATTCCAGGACGGTTGGTTTCTTGATACCATTGTACTGTGACTTTCCGTTGTGTCAAATTTACGTTCAGCACTTTACCATACCACTCCTGATTACCTGCTCCTTTTATCTTCACAGTATCTCCAAGTTCAGGATAAACTGGAACCTGTACGGGCTTTAAAAGTTCAGGTTTGTTGAAGTCAATACAAAGGAAATAACTTGGATTTTCTGTGTTTTCTGGTTCAGGATACATAATCACTTTCCTTTGCAGGTTGCATATGGGTTGAACACTATCCCTTTCATATAAGTGAGGCATAAATTTAGGAGTTCCAGTCCATTGATGATAGACAACTTGTCTGTTATGAAAGGCAGGGATGAAGTATCTCCCATCGACAAAGGTGTAGAAACTGCAACGTATAGGCCCAACAAGAATAATGCAATGAACCTCTAATATCCACTCTTCTGTCTGCTCACCATTGGAGACTTTAAATACATCATTCTTGGTCACCTTGATTATTTCGCCAAACTGATTGATAACCACAGCACTTCGAACAGTGTGTAGAATATCTGGAACTTCTTGAACAGTACACTGTAGTTCAGACACCATATATCTTGTGATATCACGCTTAACACGAGGTTCAAGTCCATTGTTTTCCTTGACTTTTCCAAGTGCTACACCATTCTGTATGGCTTGTTGTACTCATACGTTTGGGTTTTTCGTAGCTTCATTCAGCAACTCGGTAGCACATGCAAATGAACTTTCATTAAAGAAGAGAGGTGTGTCATCATTGATGTTTTCAAAATCAACTTTTGATAACCATCTGAATAGCTTAATATGGGTCCATTCTGTCTCTTGTACCACTCCAGAAAATCTCTTAGGCGCTCCCGATTAACGAAGGTTTTTTCAAGCCCTTTCGAGTTATGTTTCTGTGTCTCATGACGTAGAATGGCACGTTCATACAGCTCGCAAGAATAATTATCAAGACTGGAGTGACGTTTTATTTCATCTGCAGTATGAGTTGAATACTCTAAATTTTCCGTGCAGAATCCCAAGCCATAAAACTCTTCCGCTCTAATGGCGTGAGCCCAGAGAAGATTATGTAGCCTTCGAATATTTTCCTCAGCCCAACCATCTGCCCTCAGCTCTTTACTGTACAGCATTTGTACCGCAGAACATAGCAATCCATAGCAATCAAATGCTTCTGATGGAATCTTGTTAGCAAGGACCTCTTTTGCCACTACACTGAATCTGTACAGAGAAAAGAACAGTATACTGTAAAATTTCACAACAGTTTATATTATGTTGCAATTTTAAAAAAATACAGTATACATGTACATGAAGCAAATATAAATGCCACTTAACATCACCTTGTGCAGATTAAGATTCACACGAGCCTGAAGAATTACTTACGTGCCCCGTACTTCACTGTAGGTATATGATTCAATATCTTATATCTATCTTATAAATTGTTATTTATCTACTGTATGTGCACCACACCCGTACGCCTTACACTAATGAGCAATCAGCAATCACAGATTTTAGTAACCCACATTATGAGGCAAATGCCCATACGGGCTATTGGTAAAAATATCTGGTGTAAGGCAAAATTGCACCTTGGCTGAGAAGTTTGTTAACACATTAAAGGGTCAAGGACACATCAGGCTATTAACATTGGCGAACAGTAAGCAGACTAAAATGCTAAATGCGCCCCTGACCCTTAATGATTAATTATAATAGGCCGTAGGATGAACATCCAAAAGATGTAATTCCGTTGCACCCCTCG